CCTTCAACTCTGAGTGACTATTATGTTTATTAACAGTATCATTCATTTGAAACAAAATTCTGCACAAATTTTTCACAATGCCCTTTAATATTAAAATAGTCTCTAACTTTCAGAACCACAAGGAAACCCTCTAAGGCAGAAAGCCACGAGTTGATCATGAAAAGTACCAGGGAAGGGCCAATGGGATGGCTAGGTGGGTGGAAGGAAAGAGCTGACTCCTCCTAATTTGTTCATTGACCTCCATATGAACAGAATGACAGAATGGCATGGCGTGTATTCTATGTTCATTCTCTCTCTATTATATAGATGTAAGATGTTATTATTTTAAATACCAATCAGAAGATTTCTATACACTTATCATATGATATAATTAATTTTTCAAATAATGAAAAAAATCTCATGCAGCTCACAACTCTTTGTAACTCCAGGAACAGAGGAGTTGACACTCTCACACAGGCATACATAAAGGCAAAACATCAATGAACATAAAATAGTGAATAAACAATTAAATATTTATAGGAGCTAGTGGGGTCAGGAGCCCCACAATCATCCCACAAAACTAACTAACGTAGGCTCATAGTGACTCAGAGACTGAACTACCAACCAGGGAGCATGCATGGGACTGACCTATGTCCTCTCCATGTATTTTACAGTTGTTTAACTTGATCTTCTTGTGAGACTCCTAACGGTGGGAGCAGGACTCCTACTGAATTGCTGTGTCCAGCCTTAATGTATGAAGTCATGCCTAGTCTCACCACAACTTGATATAACGTGGCAGGCAGATATGCACAGGAGGTCTGCCCATTTCTGAAGAGAAAAAAGAGAAGGAGGAATGGATGGGGAGCAGGAGGAGTGGAGGTTGGGGGAAGGACTGAGAAGAGAGGATGGAGGGGAAATTTTGGTTAGGATGTAAAAACAAAAATAAACAAATAAATAAAACCAAATTTATTCCAAAAGTGGGAGAATATTGATGGTTATCATATTTAAATTTGAGATACTAAAAGAATGTCCCTCCAGAGACAATGCCACTTATTCTAACTTTATAATGTGTTTGCAGTTGTACAGCGATTGCTGGGGATGTCTTTCTGTATGCTGTGAATGTGTTGCTCTGATTGATTGATAAATAAAATGCTGATTGGACAGTAGCCAGGCAGGAAGTATAGTATTGGCAGGATAAGCAGAGAGGAGAATGCTGGGATTGGAAGACTGAGTCAGGAGAAACCCCTGCCACCATAAGAAGTAAGATGTAAAGTACCGGTAAGTCACAAGTCACATGGCAACTTACAGATTAAGAGAAATCGGTTAATTTAAGATATAAGAACAAGATAGTAAGAAGCCTGCCGTGGCCATACACAGTTTATAATTAATATAAGTCTCTTGTGTGTTTACTTGGGTCTGAGCTGCTGAAGGAGCTGGGTGGACACAGGAAAACTCCAACGACAAGGGATAATTAAATCAAGTTAGGCATAATTTTGAGCTGGTCTAATACATAGTGTGTTCGTGTTGTATTTGGAGTAATTATATCTTGTTTAGGCAATATTAAGACCTGGTTATTGTTTTACATTTGGAAATTAATCATGACATCAAAAGATATAATTTTGTGTCAAGCTGATAAGGGTGCAATTGTGAGAGCTATTTTTGTTTGTCAAATTTATCACATCTGAAATTCATTAAAACCCCAAAATGGAGGGGCATGCCTGTGAGGTATTTTTGCTTAATTTGAAGAGAGAAGATCCACATGTAATCCT